TTTTCTCTTTCTTTCTTTTTTGGTTTTTCAAGACAGGGTTTCTCTGTGTAGCTTTGGAGCCTGTCCTGGAACTGCTCTGTGGACCAGGCTGGCCTCGAACTCACAGAGATCCGCCTGCCTTTGCCTCCTGAGTGCTAGGATTAAAGGTGTGCACCACCAATGCCCACCGTAACAATGATGCTAGATTTGAAGCACATGTTGTAAGCTACGTTTCTAGCCTTTTAAAAATGTATTTACTTACTCTTTAATAATACTATACACATATACAATGTATTTTGGTCATATCTATTCCCTAACCAATTCTTCTCAGCGTTACCATATCCTCCCAAGTTTATGTCCTCTTTTTCCTTTGTAATCCACTGAGTCCAGTTACTGTTACTCATGTACTACTATTTTATTAATCTGCCCAGTAGAGCATAAGCATCCTATCAGGGCCCACTTACCAGACCCCTATCAGCTGCCAGTTGTTCCTCAGCTAGGGGTCATAAGTATCCTCCCTACCCATGCTGGAATTTTGGCTGACTTGATTTTGTGCAGCTGTTGTGCATTCTTGAGTACAACAGCCCTGTTAAAAGTGCAAAAGCAGCACTCCACAACATCTGGCTCTTAGGATATTTCTGCTCCCTGTTTTACATAGTTCTCCAAGCCTTGGGAAGGTTTAATACCATTGTAAAAACTGATTTGTATTTTCAGTCTAAATTAGACCCTGTGCCAAGTATGTCAAGGATTGATCTTAGTCTGACAAGTTCCATTAGGATACTGACTTAAATATGCTTGTGTGGTTTCTAGCATGTCTGGAAAGTACTTCCTCTGAGTATAAGTTACTTAAAAAGCTTCATGAACAGTATAATAAGTTGGAGATGCTACATATTGTTAGTGTAGTGTCTTTATAACGTAATTAATTACACATTAGGGGATTTTTGTGAGCTAGAATTTCCTAAATGTAAGTCATAGAATTTGTGTGTGGAGCCATGTGTGTATGGAGTACACTCATCTGTGTATGCAGTGGCCAGCGCAGGATGTCATTTGTGTTCCTCTTTTCTCTCTACCTTAATTGACTTACGACAGGGTCTTTCCCTGAACCAAAAGCTCATCATATCAACTACATTTTGCTTGGAGCTCTTAAGAACTGCTAGGCTGTGTTACCCATGCTGTGATTGCAGACACATCCAGCTGTGTGAGTTCTGGGGATGTGAATCAGATCCTTGAGTTTGCAGAGCAAGTGCTTTTTTTTTTACTAACTGCAGAGCAAGTGCTTTTTTTTTAACTAACTGAGCCTCCCTCCCCCCCCTTTTTTTTTTCCAGTTCCCAATTATTGTTCATAAGTTAATTTAACTTAGCTAGCCTGCTATTCACTTTGTAGACCAGGCTGTCTTAAACTCAAGGGCAGTCCTTATGCCTCTGCCTCCAAAATACTGGGATTATAGCATACACCACCAAAACTAGTTTAGTTTAGGTCATAGGTTTTTTTAATTGCCATAACACCTGTTGACATTCTGTGAGTCTTAAAATTCAGGGTTAAAGAATTCCATTGTTTGGCTATGTACAGTAGTTAAAATACTTATATCTTTTTGAGACAATGTCGCTATATAATTCATAATGGCTTCAAAATCTTTCCTCAGCTTCTTGAATGCTGGAATTTAAAAACTTGTAACACACACCTGGCTAATATTGAACTTCTTTAGACTTGGTCATCTTCACAGTCTATGAAATAAGCAAAGGGCAAGTCTTAAGTTCATATATAGTAGAGTATTATAAATAGCTTAAAAGACCCGTTAGAAGGAATTATACTCTATTTGTCCATGAGACAATATAGTGTAGGCTATCAAACTTCTGAAGTGCTGTGCCAAAAATGCCCTACCTTTTGTCCTTTAAGATTAAAGCTAAGAATAATTTAGTAAAGGTTCAGGTTTTAGCCTAAATTAATTACAAGGTATTCCACCCGCCAAAACATGCTTGTCAGATGGAGTTTTCTTTACTTCCCTTTTAAACCATGTATTAGTAAGCTTAACAGCTTGCCATGGTTATTAGTTTCCTCAGCCAAGAAGTGCTTTTAATTAACTCAAGCAGAAATTTCCATAGTAAATTTAAAAATGCCAGTATCCAGATACTGAACTCAGCTTAATCTCACAGATTGAATACTAAGGCTCTGAGTCTGCTGTCTCTTCTAAATGTATATCAGAAGAAACATCTGGTTGAGATTTTGTCATACCACAATTGTGATTCACAAACTCGAAATGCTCCAGAAATGGACTGCCTTATCAGGCTTCAGGCTCAGAATATACAGCAGCGACACATAGTCTTTCTAACAGGTAGGAGCTTGCTCTTGCTGATACGGGAGTATGAGTGAAATAATTTCAGGGGGCTGGAGTGGGTGTTAAATTATAATTCTGAATATATGGTGGAAAGGATTTTGTTGACAGTACATATCAGTTTATGTACATTTCCTCTTAATTTAGAGAAGACTATAAGGATGGTGTCCAGTTATACAGATAATGGGATTGTAGTTGCAACTGCTGAAGACTTTATGCAAAACTTTAAAAGTCTCGTGGGATATCACAACTCGGTCACAGAAGAAAATCTTCCGCTGCTTGGTGCTAATGAGAATCTTGAGTCACAGTCAGGTAACTTTTTAGTAGTTTTCATTTTCTTTAGGTGAGGCAGAATGAGGTTTTGTTTACCCAATAGTGAAATGTTTACTGAAACCATTTACCTCAGTGTTAGTAATAGATGCCACCTTAGAACTTAGTCAGTACAAGTTGTTAGTATAGGCTATGCATTCATTCATCTGTTCTGTGGACAGCACATACTTAGAGGATTATTTTTCCCTCTGAGGGTATATAATCTTTATTGCCTGCTGTTTGCTATCAGTTTTTATCAAGGAAGGCAGATAGAGGGATTGCTGGGCTATGAAAGGTCTTCAGATGTATGTGCTAGTTTAATTACAAGGTAGTGAGGATATCTTACCGTCAGTCTTCTGTGAGATGGCCTCTGCTTGGTTCCAGACTTTAAAAGCTATTCTTAAATTATTTTTGGCAAAAAGCAGAGATGACTGAGCATTCAGTAGAGCTAACCAGTTTAGTAATTCAGTGAAGCTACATGTCAGAAATTTTATTTTATATTTGTCTTATGAAATACTGAATTACCGTATAACTTTAGATGCTGTTTTGACATTAACCCCTTTGGAGCTGGGAGTTGGGATTTCCCAACATTAAACGTGAACACATTTCGCAGAAGCTTTTAGCATCGGATTATCTGGACACTCACACCTAGTGTGAGTGTTGTGACTAAGTGAACTTGTGGCAGAAGACCAAGCTTTAAGGGATTGTGGACTTTGCAGATCCTGACGCACTATGTTGTGTGAGTAGTGTATAATCTTACAAACTAAACAAATTGTGTATTTCAATAGAGGAGGGCTTTTTGTTTTTTAAATGTAGCTCTTTTAGAAAACGGTGAAAAGGATGAAGAGGATATGTCTCTGGATTCAGGGGATGAAATCTCACATATAGAAGTATTCAGCAGTTTTCATTCAGAAATATTGGCGGGAGAAACCAAAGGATCAAGTGGAACAAATCAAAAAAAGAATACTCAGATTGAATTGCAGTCATCTCTTGACGTGCAAAACAGTTTATTAGAAGATAAGACTTACCAAATTGATTGTGAAGAGAGAGCTCCTATTGATAGAGTATGCTCTGAAGGAGAGAACAGCAATTCAGCAGAACAAGATTCCTATAGCAACGTTCAGGCTTATCAAAATGAATTAAAAATGTCTCATCAGTTTAGTCATTTTAATGTTCTCACTCATCAGACATTTCTGGGGACACCATATACCCTTTCATCAACTCAGTCTCAAGAAAATGAAAATTACTTTTTATCTGTTTACAAAAACTCGGATAGAGAGAAATCTCCATTAAGTTAAGGATGTGTCCAAAGATAAAATTACAGTAACTAAAAATAAATAAATGTGGTTGTGGACTTTTTCAGTTTCTTAAAAATGAATTGATGATTTAAAAACAAGTTTCCTAACCTTTGTGAATTTTTTTTTCCTCTTTCCCACTTATTAAATCATGGTGGCCTGTACCATCTGAAACATCTAAAAATTGAAATAAATATATTTTTTTGACATATTGTAATCAGATGATATCTCATGTTGGCACTTTTCAGTTTTATATGTTGCCTGTACTTGGGCTTCAAATTGAAGTCTGTTTTATATGTAAAATTTGATGTTTATAAAAGAATGGTAAATAGTAATGACTTTCTTTAATGTCAGATGATGACTAAATTTGCTGAAATGTCAATTATTTATTTTGATTAAAGCTTTTGTATAGTGTTTTTACACAGGTATAAGCCAGCAGTGTCCATATTTAAAAGGATTTTGGCTCAATACCTCAAGCTATACCTACAGTGCAGTTGTATTTTAGGTAGTAAACCTATGTTTGTAATACCAAGTAGCATTTTCATTTTCTCAGCCTTTAGGTTTAACTGTGTAAACATTTAGCTTCACTTAAATTTTGGTCAGCCTTTTAAGATCGTTAATAAATACTGCTTTATGTGATCCTACAGTCAATCAAATGAACTTTTAAAAATGGGGCTTCTGTTTTCAGTGGCATTGGATAATTTGGAATAGACCTCTGAGGTGGTCTAAATTAGAACTTTCCTGCTATATTAAATTTATACAAAAACTGTATGATGGAGATAAATTTCAAGTCCTAATATAACTTATATTTGTTGCTTACTGTTCAATATTGTGAAAACAAAATTTACAGAAAAGCAAAATCATAGGATTCTAAAATGAGTTATTTCAGTAAGAGTCTAGCTCAGTGTATTAATAGTACTTCTCATGCCCTAAGAAAACTTACAGAACAACAGATCAGGGATCTCTAGACTCTATTATGGTAAGTAGAGAAAGTACTTTTACAACCTAGGATGACAGAGATTTTTTGCTATAAACTGTTTTATTGCATTTAAAAAATAACAGCATTTTACTACATACGTTTCTCATTGGGTGCTTGAAAATGCAGTTGAGTGGTTAGCATAGTTAAAACGAAGAACTAAAATTATCTTCTTGGTTTGCAGTTAAGGGTATGAGATTCGTTTCCAACTCCTTTTGTTTCTGGAGAAGACCCTGCAATCACATTGACAGTTTAGTGAAGGTGTATATAGCCAACTTAAATACATGATAGAGAAAAATTACTGAGCTCAGGACTGAACTGTTAATTGAACATTGCTCAAGTTTCATCTTTTTTAGTAATTCTTTTAAAATTAATGCAACTGTGGATTTCAAATGAAATCCACTCTCAAGTGCTCTTAATATCATGAGAAGATACAATGTGAGTCTTAATATCCTCATTTTATCTTAGCTCTGAAGTGTGAACATCACACTCCTTTCTCTTGTTCCTTTGTGTGAGTTACCAAGGTTGAGTCATGAGCTCAAGCTGTATGTAAGCAGAGGTAGCAGTTAAAGGATACAAGTAAATGGGTCTGAGCAGTTTTCTAGCTTTAGGAAGAGTAATAAAAGGTAAGCAACACATGAGCCAAATTCTTCTCAAATATAATGTAATAGGCCCCTGGATCGGTTTCAGCACATTTTTTTTTTTTTTTTTTTTGGCCTGTATAAAAACTTATGCGTATATAATTTCATTCTTTGGGCAGATCTATTCTGTTCTAATCTCTAAAAAATGGACCATATTGGTTAAAATTCACTAAAACATAAATGTTCGTTTTTGTTTGGTTTTAGCACTTTATTGTGTTTTGATATTTAAATGTACATATTTTTAAATAAAAATTGTCTTAATATCCAAACTGTCTCAGAACTTTCATTCTTAGGATACAAACATCTCAATAGCTACTTGCTGAAAAGCTCATACCTGTCTTAGTTCTGAAAGCCCCTTAAGGATAGCTTGTTGGCGATCCCTGTTTTTCACCAATTTAGGATTAAGAAGAGGATCCCTGGTATGGTCAGAGTCAAATAGCTCTTGTTGTTGGTCACAATCTGAAGGACAGATAAGGTTTAAAACAGACAAGCAAATTACTAATAGCAATAGTGTGTTAAACTATGTGTGTACATGAGTCCTGCTGCCTGTGAAGGCTAAAAGCCTTGAATCTCTGTCTCTGGTGTTGGAGTTAGGTAGCACTGTGCCACCTAATGTCGGTGCTGGGAACCAAACTTGTGAAAGAGCAATAGGAGCTCATTACCACTGAGCTGTCTCTAGCCACGCGCCTTCAATTTTTATAGTAATGCTACTTAACTTACCATGACATTTTTGGTATTGGTAGTCCTGGTTTGAAGGCCTAGACAAGGGTGCATCTGGATCAAGATAATAGATCTCATTTGTTCGAACGTAGGGAATAAAATGAGGTATCTCAGACATCTCATCTGATAATTTGGTTTGACCATCTCCTAAAGCCAGATTTTCTTTTCCACAGTCACTATTTTTTAGTGGTAAATGTAATGAATTAGTCTGAGTTTGTTGTGTTCTACTCTTTACTGCTGGTGATGACTGAAACCTGTAAAAACAAACAAAAACAAAAAAATGCAAACTTTAATAAGAAATTGCACATTTTAGAACTAAAGTCATAGTTGTAAGCCACCATGTAACTGAACCCATGTCCTCTAGAAGAGCAAATAGCCAGTGCTTTTAACTGTTGAGCCATCTCTCTGGCCCCTAGACATTGCAGTTTTAAAGACATCAATCACATTGCAGTTCATTCAAGATGTGCCTGGTCTACCTTAAGGAATACTATATATAACATCTAAGGTCTCTACTTTTTCATAAAATAGGACAATGGAGATACACTCACACAGAGTAGTATTTAATTTAAACTGTTCAATTCTGAGTCAACGTTGGATGGGTTTAACATCATTTCTCTTTACTTAAGCCAAAAGTCAGTTTGGTTTATGCACAAAGATAAAGAATAAAAATCTGACCAGTATAAACTTCCCACCTAATTAACTCGATTTTCTCTCTGTCCTCCCCTCTTTCTTCTATTTTTAAACAGTCTATTACCCTATCTGACTTATCCATATTGAATGCCTGTTCCAGTGTGGATAGACATGGAGAAGTCAAACCAGCTTAGGCCCAGTCCAGCTAAAAACCACTCTATATTAAACCTCTACTAAATCAATGAAAGCCAGCCATATCTCTTTCCTATTGCCTTCATCTCCACAAGGAACTGTCATGCAAATTTTGAATGGGTATTTTGTTTCCCACACAAAAAAGCACTAAGTAGCTAAGGAAGTATTACACATACCATTCTTTAATAACCGAAGGAGTTTTCAGAGGTTCTTCTACCTAAAAGATGGATAACACAAGCAAACATGGAGTAAGTGACATTTTCACATGTCCCTAGATACTTCTAAAATGTGTGTGTATATGTGTGTGTATGCGCATGTGTACATTGTACATGGAAGTCAGAAGGCAACTTAGAATTACTTCTGTCTTAGTGGCACAGGTCTCAGACTCAGGGTATCAGGCTCTGTGGCAGGCACCTTCATCCACTGGGCTTTCTCATCAACTTCTCACACAAATTTAAATAATCTGGGCATATCAAAATAATAGTCTCAGGGCCAGACCAGTAGTTTTGTTTTCTACATGAACAATATACATGAGTTTTACTGTTTTAATAAAAATCACAGTGTAATTTACTAACAAAAGCTTCATACAGCTACCTCAAGGAAGGCAGTCAAAAATATGTCAGCCCAAAACACTACATCATAGTGACCTTCTAAGTTAGAATGATGACCATTCTGGAGCTTTGCTTACGTTTTTGTTTTTTTGTTGTGTTGTTTTCTGAGAAGGGTCTCTATAGCTTCCTGTGTAGATCAGCTGGCATCAATCATACTTCATAACTGCCTTCAGAGTGCTGGGATTAAAGACATGCCCCCATCACACCCAGATCTGTTTAGGGTTTAATACTCACTGCCATGATTTTATTCACTTGTCCATCATTTAAAAAAATAGCTTCATATATTCATTATTCATCCTGCCTATGTTTCATCCTTTAATCACCTATTATTTTTTGGTCTCCTAAACTATATATTACACTTACATGTGTATATACTTTTTGGTTTTTTTGTTTTTTTTTTTTTTTTTTTTTTTTTTTTTTTTTTTTTTTTTTTTTTTAATTTGGCTGCAGCTACTCAGGTCAGGTGTATACAATAGTCAGTTCATATTAACAAGCATGACTGTCTTCCTTTGACCCTCTAACATGGTTTTCTATAATCTACTTAGATAAAACATAGCCTTCTGAAAGCATGGATTTGGGTAACTACTGAATTCAGAAACAATACAACCTTAGTAATGAAACAAAAGAGACTTACCTTTTTGATTAGATGCAATCTGGTCTCTGACTCAGTTTCTCGAAGAGATGAAGCAGTTTCTGGTGAAGTGCCTCTATTTTGGGAGAGGTTCTCAGAGTTGTTTTTCTCTAATAGATGAAGCAGTTCCATCTGCCGTCTTACCTTTTTTTCTTCTTTCTCCCTCTGGAGATGGACAGGGTACTTTGCTGATGCAGGAACATACCTTTTGAGAGGCTTATTTATATTCCAAGCAGGCTTTTTAGGACATTTCTTCACAAGTTTTTGTTTCTCTGTTCTTCTATACTGATTACACTGGCCATTATACCAGCTGTTTTCTTTGTCTAAATTAGTGTCTTTATTCATACTTAGTTCTTGTTTGTCTTTTTCAGTGCTAATCTGTCCATTAAATTCTGCAGGAATCTCTGGAGAAGAGTTTCTAATGTCCCTTTCTGTTAGTGATCCACAGTGTGGTAGTGCATCGTTGAAAATTCCTAAATTTAAATCATCTAAATAAAAATACCAAATGATTAACTTAAAAAACATGGTAGAAATATACTTTTCTTAAACATACTTAATGACCTGATCAGTTACATTTGTTTATTTAGGGTGGTGGGTCATGCCACATGGTATGCACACAGAAGTCAAAGGGCAACTTGTTAAGAGTTGGTTCCTTTTGCCATGTGAACAAAGATGGAACTCAGGTCCATGGCTTTAGTGGTAATCCCCTTTACCTGCTGTGCCTTTCTTTCATCCCTAAGAATTTAATCCTCAAAATGAAACTATTCATTAAAAAACTGCTAATTATCTTTAAAAGAAGCTGGTAACGATTCTGCTTAGTGTAGAAATGAATATTCCAAATGGTCCATATAAACAGCACTGTGCTATGAACCAATTGCCACAACAATTAGGAATCAATGGCAAGAGGACTAGAACAAGTTCAATGCCAACTTGGTCTACAGAGTTTTAGGAAGCAAGTTGCAGGCCAGTGCAGACACTGTATCAAAAAAATGAAAACTTAAAAGTGATAGACTGGCTATTCAAGTAGTATAAAATTCTCAGAGTTTATAACCATGTTAGTTAGACACATGTCAGAATTTCTTTAGGCTAATTGCATTGTATAATAGGCCTACTTTTGTTCATCTGCATAGGTGGTATCCCTTCATATGAACTGTGGCTAGTCTGCTGTACTGAACTAATATCTCAAGTGACTGGCAGAAAATAGTGATGTCTATGTCAAGACAGAAAGAGAAAAGAGGGGAGGCTCTTGAGTCTCAGGAAGTAAACAAAAGCATACATGTCAGAAAAACCTTGATTCTTGAGGGACCCTTCTCAGCATTAAAAAAAAAAAAAAAATAAAATGAAACCTCTATTGGAGGAGATTGCCCAGCAGAACTGTGGAGGAGGGTCCAGTGGGGCTGCTGCAAAGAGCTCTAGGTTGCAGCTTTGGGGGGGTAGTGGGAACGCCAGTTTGGGGGTGGAGGGGTTGGGCTCTTGGATGATGTAGCTGCTTTTAAGTTATCCCTGATCCTCAACAGTAACACCTTACCTATATTCCTGTTAGTAACCCTAATAAAAACTCACTGGGGAACACTGGTGTAACTGTTACTCTGGTTTCTTGGGTGATATATGTTGCATCTCCCTAGAAAAAGTCAGTCACAATACCATGTTACAGAAGCTTGGGCAACGTGTTATCTTAGATTAATATTATAAGCTACTATGGGATCCATTAAAAGCCATAAAGAAATACTTCAGGAAGGCCCACTGATAAAACTTCACAGAACTGAGAAAGTAAGAAGGGTTTCCTTGAAGAGTAAAGATAACTCTGGGACTTGCCTCAAAAAAACCTTCAAACCTAGGGGTTGAAGAACTGGCTCAGCAGTTGAGAGCTGGTCACTACACTCACACACGCCTACCTACCCCTATACATATACACTAAATTAAAAATCCTTTTTAAATAATGCTTAGGAGTGTCTGATGTGGATATTGTCTTACTTAAAATTTAAAGCCAGTCACTGGGGTAATTCGGATTAGAATCCAAGTATTGGCAAGGACATGGAGAGATAAAAACACCTCTACATGTTGTTAAGATAGATGCTTTGGATGACAATTCAATAGCTCCCCAAAATGCTTATTATTCTTATCACATAACTCAGAAGTTCTAATTCCTCTTTCCAAAGAGAACAGAAAAATGTGTAACTTCACAGTCGCACTGTACATAATAGTCCTAAGTTCATAGAACAAAACCAGTATAATTCACACAGCGGAGTTAAAGGAATAAACGGAGGTGTGTTGTAAAATCCACAGTGTGGATAAACCCGTATATCATGCAGAAAGTCAGAGTAAGCCAGAAACAGAAGAGCACTTACAACATAGTTCTGGTTACATGAAAAGTACAGAACAGGCAAACATTCTAAGACAATGAACTGGAGAGAGCAGAGAGGTCACTATGAGTTACTCATTGAGTACTGTGCTCAATTCCAATCCACATACACTAAAACTGGAATGAGATTAGCATGGCCCCTTGGCAAGTATGACCTGCAAATTGGTGATATAGTCCATATTTTTAAAAAGCACCTTCCATGGAAAATAAATTTGAACACTGAAAGGGTTCTAAAATTGTGATGGTAACTGCACAAGTTTACCCATGTTACAAACACCAAACAGAGCTGGGCATAGTTGAACTTGGGAGGAAGAGGCAGTAAGATTTCTGAGAGCTCCAAGCCAGCCTGGTCTCCATAGTGAGTTCCTACGCAACAAATGGCATCAAATGAGTAAGATTTAGGCTAGATATTTAGCTAACTGGTGGAGTGCTTCCTTAGAAAGTATAAGGCCTTTATTCTCTGAACTACAAAGAAAATGGGGAGGACTTAAATTTTATGTGAGTTAGATCTCATAATAAATCTAAAACTAAAAGAGATCCCTTTATTTTGTTAAAAACCTCAAATTTCTAGGTAGAGATGTAGCTTAGTTTGGTAAAGCACTTGCCTAGCCCCAGTGTCACATAAAAGGGACATGGTGTTCCATGCCTGTAATCCCAGTGTTCCACAGGTCAGGGCAGGAATATTAGTTATAGGTTATCCTTGGCTTCAAGAGACCTTGTTGCAAAGACTAAATTCCTCAGATGTCCTCACTTTAAAAATGAAATGGAAAAATAAACACTTTACATGAGTACCTGTCTGCACTCCAGTGTCCTTCTTGGGAGAGGCTGTGGGCATGGCAGCTGGGCATGTTTCATCGGCAGCCTCCTCAGCATCACTTCTTGGACTGGAATCGTTAGTGGATGCCTTATAATCCATTTGTGCTGTGTCAAATGGCAGTGAGAAACACCTTAAAATGACACGTAGAATACTAACAGACTCCATGTGGGGTTAGGATACAGCTGGGTGACAGTGTTTGCCTCCCACACAAGGCCCTGGGTGTGAGCCCTTGCACTGAAAGACAAAGGGACAGTATCGGTTTAAAGACGTTGTGACTTAATCACCACAAACTGTAGGAAAAAAATTAAAAGGCTAGACTTACAGCATAGCCTAAATTTATTATTAAAAATTACCTATATCATTAGCCCTTGGTGAATATAAAAGAATGAATATTAACGTACACACTGTACCTATGTCAGGATTAGTGTGAAAATTTCTGTGAAAAGGATACTGCAACGTGTACTGTTTCAGGGCAGCTTTCAAAATTATTAAAGATGGCTTGGGTGAAAAGCTTCTGTCCCTTTAAAAATATCTAGTTAATGTGTTTTCCTAAGGATTTAAAGTAGAGAGGTATTAAAATCATCTTCAAAACCAAAACTATAAATAAAATTCCAATTAATCACTTACAGCCAAGATTTTTGATCAGCCTGGAGGCGTCATGGCCTTTCTGAGTCAGTTCTCGGATCCTCTGTTCCTGTTTCTGTCTCTGTGCCAATTCCTGAGCTCGCTGCATTGTGTGGAACAGCTCATTCGTCTTTAGAGTCATCATTTCCTATCAAGATTGACATACACAGTAAAACAATTACCAAGCACATTCAGCGAAGTAAGTGACACTTCCCATTCAGTACAAATGCTCAAGCTTTCCCTACATAGCAGATGCTGGTCTAATATCAGTTGAAGAACAGTCAATAGGGCCTTTTAGAGATTGCTGTTCTAATGTGTTTTTTCTTGTTATTAGACAGGGTTTCACTGTGTAGACCAGGCTGCCCTTGAACTCACAAATTATAGGTGTAATTTGTTAGGATTACAGGTGTGCATCACCACCATGCCAGCTGTCTCCACCCACTCAATGAAACTGGAGTGCAGACTATATCTTCTCACATCCCATTTTTGAAAGATACCAAGAAAAAACCGGCAAGGAAGTGCAGACTTGGTGTCTTTAAAGCTGACAACTGAAATAGCACTGGGCAGTCTGCTCTTCTGTCAGCTCAGCTCAGACACAGCACTCGGACCACCCCACTTACCCTATATAAGTAACAAGACCGACTTTTGTAAAGACTATTACTGAGCCCAATGGAAGCCTCTAGCAAGCCATGAGTTTCATCAGCAATCCCAACCAATCATTACTCTTTTAATATCTAGAATCATTATTACTTTAGATTTACTTAGGGGCAGGGAGGTGGTAATGTTGTACCACAGTGTGTATGTGGGGGTCAGAAGTAAACTTTTCCCTGGAACATGGGTTCTATGTATTGGTTGTTAATACCTCTTACCTGCTGAGGCATCCTATGGGCCCAATACCTAGAATTGCTAGTAGGTTGTGTGCATCTACTCCTGATCATAATGAAGCTTGGTGTTGCACTCACCCTAACCATCTCCCATGAACAGGCCAAGCATGCAGCATCTGAGATCTGGACCATGTGAGGGTATGACCCTGCCAAGCCTCCCTTTCCTTAGCTGTAATGTCTCCACACATAAGCTGCACAATTCAAAACTTGCAGATACCAGCCTCTTCATTACCTCACGATGTGAGCACCTACTTACTTCCTTGTGCTTCTGCTTAAGAATGTCCTCTTCATACTGCCTCTGCATTTCTTCCCGTTCCCGGGCCAAGCGCTGCTCCTCTTCCTGCTCCTCCTTCTTTCTCTGTTCTTCTTCTAGCCGTTTCTTCCTGCGGTTCTCTTCCACCTGAGCCATGATTGCTTTCTAGTCATAAACAATTACAAGTGACTGTCACAAGGAAAGATCCATGTAGCACTGGTTTTGATGAGGATTTACCAGTTACACATACAATGGAATTGGGGGAGAACTATACTTAACTAGCATGTGTACCACAAAAAGAATCAACTAAAGAAATTACTCAGCACTCACCACATTGACTGATAAATGGGAGATGCTCTCAGCTTTTCACTGAGTTCAAAAAGGAAAATTAACTGGGCCAAATTACCTAAAAACTTTAAAAGATTCAATGAACTTGGGAACAGTGCTGTGTACTGAGTGCGTATCTGTGGCACCTGTTACTCAGAAGACTAGATAAGAAAATGCCACATCTTAGCAACATGGCAAGGGCTCATTCAACACACAAACTCTTCAGAGAATAGAGAACCACAAAAGTCACTCAGACCATTGTCCCTCTAGATCAGCCTGAGAGAGTTGGTATTTTTTTTTTTTTTTTTTTTCCTTTAAGACAGGGTTTCTCTGTGGCTTTGGAGACTGTCCTGGAACTAGCTTTTGTAGACCAGACTGGCCTCAGTCACAGAGATCCACCTGCATCTGCCTCCCAAGTGCTGGGACTAAAAGCATGCACCACCACTGCACAGCATTGATAAAGAGTTTTACTCTCAGCCCCATATTATCTACTAGATTGCTTTGATTTTCTTGCATGTTTTCTTTCAAAGACCTGAACAGAACTCTGAGGAAGTAGCCAATATTTAATAATAGTACAAAGTCATATATACAACATACTCATTTAATGGCTCCACCAGAAGGAGGCAACCTGGCAATAACACTGTCTGGACCTCAGCTCATATGATTGTTAGTATTCAAGCATGTGTACCGGTCTGCTCTTGGGGTGGGTTCTGACAGGATATGCCCTTAGATGCAGCTACTAAGAGCACCACCTGTGCACGTTCCCTACATTCCCTTTTAAAAGGGCCCTGCCCTCCTCTCTCTCTCTGCCTGTCTCTGTACTCCATGCCCCGCCTCTCTTCTCTTCTGCTGCTCCTGTCCCCAAAGGCCAGTTCCCCCTCCTTCCCTCCCCCTGATAAAAATAACCTTCCATTTGAGCTCTGTGGCATGGTATCTTTCTCTTGAACACTGCTTTTTAAATTACAACAATGATGCCAGTTGTGTAAGAGACTGGATTTACAGAAGGATATAATTAGACCCAAGTTGAAAATTTATATCAGAATTTCCAGCTGTGTGTGGTGGCATATGCCTATAATCCTGGGATTTGGGAGTTGGAGATAGAAGATCAAGATTTCAAGACCAGCCTTGGCTACACAGCAAGTTCAAGACCAGCTTAAACTACATTAAAACTTGTCTGGGGGGGGGGAATCAATTTTCTATTTACTTAGGTATATATTGGCCATCATTACTTACTAAAGCAAAGAACAATGTCTTACAATTTAAGGCACAGTATAGAAACAGGAAATGTTTTACAACATGATACCTGATGTTCTAACTGTTTGTGCCGGCGTCTTTCCCGCTCCTCAATCTGTGCTGGGTCCAAGAGTGCAGTCATAGAACGGAGAAAGCTGTGAAGCATAAAACGCCAGAGAGGTTAACCATTTTTTGTTTAAGCAACATCTGCTAACCATTTCTATTTCAAAGAAAAATGCCAAACTAAAATGAAATGGACATGATGGCAGTCCTAGTCAAATGCACTTTCTAAAGGACTGAATATGTAAAGTAAACTTACTTTGTTTTCTGACTGTGTGATACAACCATATCTGCAGCAGGCTTGGCTCTCTGTTCCTCCTCTGAAGGTCCCACCTGGATGGCAGGCGGAGGGGTGTAAATGCTGTTGACATCAGCCAGCTCCTGAGTGTCAGGAGAAATACAAAACGACTCCGGGTGTTGATGTGTTAACTGACAGGACAGCTGAGACTGAGACCCAGGAAGACTCTTTAACGAATCAAAATGCACTGCCCATCTGTCATGTTCCTCACCCTAACAGTGACAAATAAGAAATGCTCAGAACTTTTCAACTACTCCCATACAAAATTATAAAGGACAAACACTGATCGGCTGGGGAGATGGTTGCCCTCCCAAGGAGAGACCTAGGTTCAGTTCCCAGCACCCACATGGCAACTAGCAACTGCCTGATACTCTAGTTCCAGAGGATCCTTACTCTCTTGGCCTCCTTGGGCACTGTACACATTTGGTGCAGGCAAAACACCTACACAAATAAAAAAAGTGAATAAAATCTCGAAAACTAAAGAAAACAAGTAGTATATGTAAGATAAAAACTAACAAAATTGTGTTTTTTGATTCTTTAAGTAATAAGAACTATCTTGGGAATTTTTTAAAAAATTAATTTCTAAAGTTTTAAAAAGCTACTTAAAACCCACACATTTATGCTATGAAAAGTTTCATAAAGATAAATGTTTACTTTGTCAAACAATTTCAGAATATTTACAAGTTTATGTTAGGAAAGACTTGAAATCTTCTATTACAGCCATAACTTCCTGAGTTACCTTTGCATATATCATTTTTCCCTCTATTTTCCTTTGCTGGTCATCTGCTTGTTTACTCAAGTCTTCAGTCCAATTTCTCTGCTGCTCCTCTTTGACATTGCTGCATGGAGACTCTGGCAGTCCAGCTTCCTGAACAAGTCAGTAACCAACTAAAGTCAGGCCTCAACAGTATAAATCTTACCAGGTCATTCACACAGATCTAATCCAGTAAGGAAGGCATTTATCACTAGGAGAAGCAATGCTGTCAGGCAAAGAATCTGATCATACTATTAAGGAGACATGCTCTGACCCTCAGAATTGAATTTTAAACATATACTGGTAGATGGTGTAAAAACATCTAGGTACACAGAAAGAAAACATTTTAATTGATTCTTCATTTAAAACACTATAAAAATGCAATGTTTGGAAAGAATATTCTGGTGACTGAGTAGATCTTCCAAGACTAAAAGTAGCAAAACAACTAAAATTCATCCTACTTCACAAGTACTTGTTCAATAATGTTCACATAGTTAGGAAATGCAAACAACCATATGGCCTTTGACTGATGGACAATGAAATATGGTACATATACATAATGAAATATAATACAATTCAGCCATTTAAAAAAAGGAAAAGAAAGAAAATCTTGAGTCATGGAATGTGCAGGTAAATGGATGAACTAGAAAATATACTGAGTTAAGTAACCTGGACACAGAAAGACAAATGCTGAATTTTCTTCCCATGGTTCCTAGCTCCAAATCTTTAGATGTGAATATGTAATGTAGAGTAGCGGTCATCAATCTGCATATCAGATATTTACAATATGATCCCTATAGTAGCAAAATTATAGTTAGGAAGTAGCAATAAAATAATTTTATAGTTGGGGATCACTACAACATTAGGAACCGTGTTAAAGGTCACAGCATCGGGAAGACTGAGGACCACTGAGTTAACTGCAAAGACCAGGAAAGTAAACAGGAGGTGGGGTGGGGGTGGGGTAAGGCCTACTCCAAAGAGATAAAAGGTAGGTGATACAAAGGGTAAATGGGGAGGAGGGCTTCAACTGGGGAGCAGGAGGGAAAACAATATGGAAGGAGATAGAGAGAGGAGGGATAAATCATAAGAATGCTTAAAAATGACAGGAAATTATTTATTAGTAATTATTAATAATTAATAACAACAAGTGTTATTTTGTTTACCTAAAATTACATCTATGTGTATATGTATTATACAAATGTATATAGTTTAAATGAAGTTACATCACTTGAGGTCATTGTACCCCACCAAGAACCATTAGACTATCTAACAAAACCCCTAGTACCAAGCATGAGAAACCTCCTTTCAAGCTGCTGGTCAGAAGAGTGCAAGACTCCCAAAACAAGATAGGGTACTTAGTTGCTTCCCAGAAGCTAAAGTCCATATTGTGGAAGACATCACATCCTTAAAGGATGTGAGCTGGAACTGACCCGAAAGCAATCCTTCCTGAAGATGAGCTTTCATAGTAAAGGAAGTTAATATATGAAGTTAATATATAGACTGCTACGGGAGGAAGCAACCAATAGTCCTAATCAGCTGTGATGCCACAACAATGACCAGCATAGCAAGATATTCCTAATGGGACAATAGTGACACTCAAGTTGACTATATTGGCAGTAATCAATAGCTGTCTCATTGGACTCAAGGCCCACTTAATAGGAAGGAAATCATGCTTGCTACTGTAAACCTAGTCAACTACATATGTGGCTAATGAGATCATGGACCTTAGAGAACCTACAATAACCTGTTCCCTAGAGCAGTGTAGTTCCTAACTGTATTCTAAATTCTTATCCTTATGCCCATAGGTAGATGTAGATCTCACCTCTCATCAAAGAAGCTTCATTGTACAGTGGCGCCAGCACATATTACAGAAAGACACAACCCTGTCAAAGGCCCAAATGATACTCTACAACACAACATCTACATCTAAGGCTCAGAGAACAACACAGAAGAAGAGATGGAAAGATTTTTAGCATCAGGAGAGTAGAAAGTCTGCTGTAAGTATGTCTTCTAGCTATGACACCAATGAAATCTCAACAATTCCAACAACAGGTGACATTCCAGTAAAGATGGGGAAGAATTAGTTTTCCCCAAAGATGAGCCCCCTGGTTATTCAATACCAAGTGGTCAGTCCCAGGGACATGTACATGCAGGCAGCCCTGAACTGATTCAGCAGGTTGTGCTTACATGTTTGTTTATATGTATGTGTAGTAACAACAGATAAAAAAGAGAAAGCTGTGAACTTGGTAGGGTAGCAGCACACAAGAGGGGAATGATGTATATTTTAACTAAAATTTTAAGTTATTTTCAATTTGAAATTACTGTTAAAATCCCTCTGAAACAAGATTCAAATGTTTAGCATACAGTTCAAAGTCCTAGTTGTTCATGTTTATTTACCATGCTTAGAGTTTTACCTACTAGAATCTTTTGTCACATTAAAAAAACATATATCCTAGATATGTCCTTCGTCCAGATAGGTAATTTAAGAGTGAAAATTTTTACCAAGTCATCACTGGGTGTGGGATATAGAAGTGTTATTACTCAGAAGCCATCCACCTTGCTTTTGTACACAGGATTTTGTCACTGGGACCTAAGGCAGGTTAGGCTGGTGTCCAGCAAGCCCAGGGATCAACATCTCCAGTACTGCATCACAGCCTGCAGCCCCACTCAGGTTCTCCTGACTCTGCTGTTTCCCCAGCGCCACCATTCTGCTTTTGTAGATCATCGTTTTAATACATACTTTTTTTTTTTTTTTTTTGAGACAGGGTTTCTCTGTGTTAACAGTCCTGGCTCACCTGGAACTCAATTTTAAGACCAGACCACCTCATAGAGATCCACCTGCCTCTGCCTCCTAAGTACTGGGATTAAAGGTGTGCACCATTACCACCCAGCTTATAAATATTAATCTTAATCTAGGCTTTTAATTTTTTTATTTTTTGGTTTTTTGAGATAGGGTTTCTCTGTGTAACTGCCCTGGCTGTTGTAAACCAGGGTAGTCTTAAACTTCTACCTCTCACGGGCTGGGATTACAGGTATATGCTACCAAGACCCGAGGCATTTTCTTAATTAGTGATTGATAGGGGAGGGCCCAGTCCATTGTGGGTGGACTCAGCCTGGTGTCCTGGGTTCTATAAGAAAGCAGGCTGAGTAAGCCATGAAGAACAAGACAGTAAGCAGCACCCTCCATGGCCTCTGCATCTGTTCCTACCTCCAGGTTCCTGCCCTATTTGAGTTCCTGCCCTGACTTTCTTCAGTGTTGAACAGCAATGCTGAAGTGCAAGCCAAATAAACTCTTCCCTCTCCAACTTGGTTTTTGGCCATGGTATTTAGTTTCATTGCAGCAATAGAGATCCTAGGTCATGTATTAAATTTTTTTTTTAATAACTCAAGTGGCTTTAATTATTCTCAGTATGCAAACTGATCACTCCAGTGAGATGGCTCAGCAAGTAAGGACATCTGCCTAACCTGATGACCCATGTCTAACCCTGGTCCCAGTGACTCTTGGATGTTGTCTACTGACCTCCACACAGATTGTTGTGTGTGGCACACACACAATCATGACAGACAGACAGAGACACACAGATATACACACAAATATAAAAAGCAGTATTTTTAAAAATGGTAAATGTAAAAGTTAGGTTATATGTATTTTACCTCAAAACATGCGGGATTTTGTTTTTTAATTAAGCAAAGTATAAAACAACTTTGTTGGCCAACTGCAGAACTGATGGGAGATGTCATTCTGTAAATATGTTTCTCATACTGGTTAATGAATAAAGCACTTTTGGCCAATAGGAAAGCAAGATAGGCGGGACTAGGAGACAAGGAGGATTCGAGGAAGTAGCAGGGAGGAGTCAGCATGGAGAGACTGGAGACAACAGGTCCGGGCCCACTCTCTGGTAAGATGAGACCACGTGGAAACACTTACATTAATAGAAATGGTTTAATACTTAGGACAGAGAAACAACTGGCCAACAGCGTTATATCTAATACAGAGTCTCTGTGTGTTAATTGGGGCTGGCCCCTTGGTGGGTCCAGGTCGGCAGGAAAAACCTTACTCGTAACACAGAACTATGGTCTGACAATGGCAAGCATCTGGAGTGTGGTCTGTGGTGGTAACTATTCTGTATTAAAGTGTGTACTAGAACATACTCTCTTTATTTCAGAGGTTTCTAGGGAGTGCTATTCATGAGAGGAAAGCCAAGATTTCAATTAAGGGATAATCTCATAACCCTCATGCTTAACTGGCTCAGAAGCACAGATGGAGTTTAGAAGTGCACCGTGTAAAGGAATGGGCTTTTGTATTACTAAGTTCATTCTCTTTTCCTCAATAAAATATAATTTCTCCAAGGGCTGAAGATGTAACTCTTTCCTGGCATGTACAAAAAGAAAAAGGCAACAACAGAAACTTCCCCAATAGCATCTCACATTCACAGTGCATATAAATAAGGCCATGCTTCAACCCTGAAAGGACAAATGGTTCATTACACTTCTGTCATTCTTGTTTATCCAGGCTTGGAATTCATGACTTAGTTTTCAGACTTTCACTACTAAGCCATAGATAAAAGCCCTTGACAGTTAAGTGTGAGGAAATCTGGACCCCAGCACCCACCCACATAAACACTGGACAGTTGAGGGGGCCTGTCCAGCATCCAGCCTGTGAGTTCAGGTCCCACAACAGACTCACTGAACTGAGATCTGAGTGAAGGGAGAAACTATACCTCAACACATAAGGTGGAGAGCAATCTAACAAGACACTGGAAGTTACTCTCTGGCCTCCACAGGGATGTTCACACATGCACATGTGTAACTACATACTTGAGAATATACATACATAGAAATGTATGGAAACCACACACACACACACACACACACACACACACACACACACACACACACACAGTTGAAAGGGGGAAAAAATCTAATAATTGGCAATTAAAAGAAAAGAAACTCAGAATCATTCCTTTAAAGCAAATAGGTTATATGGAAAAAAAGGACTAAGGGGCTCATGCATCCAAAGTACTACCACTTAGAACTCACCATCTAATGACTGACTAGCTCTAAGTTACTACATCAGCCTGGACAGCTATAATCTGTCAAGGCACCTGTGACAGAATGAGGAAACAGGAGAGGGAGAAAGGACAAAGGAGGGAGGGAAGGGAAGACAAACTATGTCTTTATCTAAAATTAAACACCAATAAAGATCAGCAAGGCAACTTCCAAATTGCAAATGGAAATTGAGAAAACTAAGTTGGGCAGTGGTTAAATTAAGCACCATGTCACACCTAAGAAAAGTATTTTTTATTTTTAATCAATGAGCACTAAAAATAAGATGTACAGTGCTGCGCATGATGGTATATGCCTGGAATCCTAGCAGAAAGCACCTGAGGAAGGAGAACTACCATAAGTTTGAGGCCAGCCAGGGTTACACAGAAAAACCTTTGCCTCAAAAAACCCAAATTGTCAAAGGAGGTCCTATAATGTGAACATTTTAAAAATTGTAATAAAGGCCAGGCATGGTGGTACACATTTTTAATACTCTAGAAGCAAAAGCGGGTAAATCTATATGAGTTTGAGGCCAGCCTGGTATACATAATGAATTCTAAGACAGCCAGAGCTAATTAGTAAGATCCTATCTTGAAAAAAACAAAACAAAACAAAAATTGTAATAATAAAGACATAAGCAGAATGCTTGACTGAATTTGATATTCTTACCTTAGATTGGTTAAGGATTTGAAGTTTCTCACGTACTATTTCAGATTTTCTCCAAGGATTATTCCAATTTTGAGAGGCTTCTTTTTCTTTCTTCTTTAAAGCAACCTGTTCATCTGTAAATAATGTCGTTTTAAAAATATGTACAAAAACTAAAAAAAATCATGTAAACAAATAATGAGTTAATCAAAGTTGTTTTCTGGGGAGAAGATGACTCACAAGGCAGAAAGGAACTTTGAAGGGTGTGGGATAAAAGAAAACACTGAATCAGAATCAAACTTCAATACAGTACAGACAGATGTAAGAATGTTTTTATTACAGAGATCAGTAATGAACAACTTCTCACAATACTGACATGCTAAGCACTCTGTGTACGTTTCCACCTTCCTACATTATTATTACTGATAGACTTAGAAGGCACATAGCCACTTTATGGTCAACTTGAAGCTCAACCGCTTCCTACCTATACAGCAGATAAACCCCTATTCCACCCACTAATCCTTGGTTTCTTCTGTAAAACTGAGTAAAAGTATTGCCTATTTCAGGGTAGGGCCTAGCACAAAGTAAGGGTATTAGTCAATTCTCACAAATTGCTGGACATGAAATAGGAATTGAAACTATGGGTGGATGAGATGGCTTACTGGGTAAAGGCGCTTGCCACCAAACCTGACAACCTGAGTTCAATCCCCAGACTCAGATGGTTGAAGAAGGAAAAGGACTAACCCTCACAAATTGTTCACACACACACACACACACACACACACACACACGAATGAACTATTTTTCAATAAATCATATCTCAATACACAGGATTTCTATAACAGAAAAACGTAAGTAGAAAAGGTTCAGGGCTCCAGAAGGATGCTAGGAGCACACTGGTTTTGGTGCACCCTGAAGAACACCAAAGCCACAGGGCAACATGAAAGCCCAAATCTCCTCAGGAGTCTGCAGAGAGCTGCAATGTTACACGTTATAGAACAAGACTTGATAATATATCAAAAGATAACTAAGTACTCCATGAGCCAACAAAACTATACTAGAAAGCAGATAAATTACCTAGCTCTTTTTTCCACTGGGCTCTTCTTGCTTCCAACAAACTTTTATCACGCTCCCGTTCCCCCAGAGTACTGAATATATCAGCTGGTTTCCACTCGTTCTCTCTAAGATAAAAAACACACATGAAACCCAGGAGCCTTACCATTATGTTTACATGTTTCTACTGCATAAATAGCTAAGTCTTCAGAGCACTTCACATGCAACGGACAAGCAAATGCATATTCTCCAGATACCCCAGAAACATGTGAGTCACATACATGGCAATTCTCTGTTCACACTGTTGAAAAGCCTCTTGCGTTCCAGTGAAGACATATTTATTTCCATTTGAGACAAGTGGAACAGCCTCCATTTTCTGCACTTTCACATCGTTGGGCTGGCCAGGAATATTGATCAAATGTAAACTATCTTGACCTAGGAAATAAAATACATGTTTTAAAATCATACTACTGTATAACACCTCACCCTAACATATACCTATACAGTTGAAAGAAAAGTCTTAGCAAGCATGACGGCTCACACCCATTAACCCTCAGATAAAACTCAGGAAGCTGGGGCAAGAGGGTCATTCTGAGTTTGAGGCTGGTCTGGACAAAATACTAAGTCATTGACCAGTCTAGGGCGCAGAGTGAGGCCCTGCCTCAAAACAAACAGACAAACACAGGGAGGTGCAGAGGTGCAAAGCTTTAGTCCCGGCACTCGGGGCAAAGGTAGGCCAATCTCTGTGTTCAGGCCAGCCAGGGCTGCACAGTGGGACCCTGACTCTTGGGCATGATGGCACACACAACTGCAACCCTGGCACTCAGAAGACAAAGCAAGGGAACCAGGAGTTCAAGGCTGACTCAGCTACATGAGGATGTCTCAAAAACAAACCCAACAGGCCAGAGTGCCTCCCTCACATGAACACAGCCTTAGGATGACCCCCTGTACTACATAAGCCAGCATGTAGTACAAACCAAGAGTCTGGGCACTTAGGAGGTAAGGATAGGAAGACTGGAAGGAGTTCAAGACCACCCTGGAAACAATAGCAGGGTTGTTGTTATAACAAACAACAAAAACAGAATGAAACGATCTTTTCATTTTGAGTCAGGGTAGACTGAGGCCAGCCTGACCTACATGAGACCTTACCCTAAATAGTCAAGAGAAAAGAGAAAAATCGTGGCCCAGAGATTAAATAGCTCACTCCTGGCCATAGCTATACAATTTTTTTTACATCAAATAAAAAAGAAAACAAGCAAAAACAGAAAAATCAGGGTTGGGAATACCACTAAGCTCGCCTAGAATACATCAAAATGCTTGCCTCATGTGCCAGCCTGCTCCACCTGTATCACTTCGTGAACCGGTAAGGCGGTGCACACCTGTATCTCAGTACTCAGGAGGCAGAGGCAGAAAGACAGAAGTTCAGGCTTTAGCTATGTACTGAGTTTGAAGCCGGACTGGTTAAGTGAGATCTGTTTGACAAAAAACAAAAACAAACAAACCAAAAAACAAACAAACAAACCCACCAAAAAACAAACAACCCCCCCAAAAAACCTCCATTCACTTGTCAAAATAATTTATAACAATTTATATAATTTGAAATTACATGTAATTTGTAATTATAATATAAATCACAACATAAAGAGATGCAAATTGTTTAGTAAAAACCCATGACCTATGGAGGAAGAATAGATTGGGGGTGGGGAGTGGGAACAGAGAGGGGATAGTGGGACAGACTGGGAGGAGAGGGGGGGGGGGAGAGTAAACTGTGGCTGGAATGTAAAATAAATGAATAAATATATTTATTAAACAAAACAAAACACCCATGATCTTGCTTTTCTTTCTTTACCTGTGGAAGTTTTGTGAACCTATGTGCCCCAGCCACCATAACTAAACCAGGTGTTGTACAGAAACACTGCTGTGATCCCTCCCGAGTGTGCCATTTCAAAGAGTAGGGAGCAGCAAAATGCAAGTTACCCCAGGGTTATGTAAAATGTCTTAACTCTGCCGATATTTAACTCTCGCTATACCTAGCAATGAGATAGAGTTCTCAGCTGCAATTCTAGCCTAAAGAAAGCCAACTTCCTTTATTTACAAATAACAGAGACTGGGAGAAGAAACTCTACTGTGAACATATGGGAGCATATAGAAGTTACCCAGCACCCAAACTAGTTGTGTGACCCTTCCATGGTCAGGGTCATCGTATTTTCATTTCACTATACTAAATATTTTGGCATTTCAAGTACTTTCATAGTCACAACTCCTTAGCTCAAAGCTGCACTTAGGTTGTTAAAACATAACCCTAACTAGTGAAACAGAAAGCCTATAATATTCTTCTATGGGTAAATGTAATTTACACTGGTCAAAGCACAGTACAGCTAACCTTAGCGTAGATGGAGGAAAGGACAGGAAGCACACACAGCAACCAGAAACTCAGTATCAGAAGCTTATCTTTTTAAACTCTTGCATGTAATTTGTTTTTTGAAATGGGATCCCACTATGTAGTTCAAGGTTGCCTCAGTTTGTGTACTCCTGCCTCAGTCTGCTGAAATGATAGGGAGCTGTCCAAAAGAAACAGCTTTGTTTGCAAGCTTGTCTCTCTCCATTCTATGTGTCCCGACTTTTAATCAGTTTTGGAAAATTGCTTTTTCTATTAATTATTATTCAGGTATGCAGTTATAGTAACTATCATCTAGAGGGAGTATGAAGTCAATTTTTTCCTCCTTTATATCACCCCTTTCCTTCTCCATGAAAATGTTTAACTTCTTCCCCATAATCAGCAGCCGCAACAGTCCAACTCATGTCACATTTAAGAGATGGCTCTTGCTGTCCTTGTCAGCTGAAGCATTTACTCTTGCTCTGTGCACTGACACTAAACAGCTAAAGTTCACTGTTGAGTTGGTAACACAAGGAGATGAGTGCCTGACTATAATAAACAAAACAAGAAATACAAGTACTGCTATGGCCTCCTCGGCGTATCTCCAGTGAGACTTTCATCAGGAAGAAAATTATAACCTTCTTTGGTTCATTTCCTCTCCTGTCACAAGTAAGGAAAGAGAACCAGACATATGTTCGCCATGGCAGAATTGTCCATAGGATTCCATTTGGCGTGTATCTGTTGTCAATAGCCACTGTAATGATGTTGCTGCACACATACTAAATTGCATGCTTTGGAAGAGAAAAGAAACCGGTCTCTTGGTGATAGCACATTAAACCCCACAACCAGCTATTTTAAGATTATTTTTAGGCCAGGCAGTGTAGCAAATGCTTTTAATTCCAGCATTCAGGTGGTAGAGACAGATGAATCTCTCTGAGTTCGAGGTCAGCCTGGTATATGTATAAACCTCCAGGACAGCCATAACTACATTGAGAGATCCTGTCTCCAAAAAAAAATACTTGAGCATTAATTTAAAATATAGCAAAACTATAAAGCAGTTTTACATATTTTATGTATAAGAAAAACCCTAATGTGAATAGGAACTTAAAATTACTGCATGTGCCAGGTGGTGGTGATGCATGCCTTTAATCCCAGCACTTGGGAGACAGAGGCAGGTAGATCTCTGTGAGTTTGAGGTCAGCCTGGTCTACAGAGTGAGTTCCAGGATAGCCAGAGCTATACAGAAAAACCCGTCTCAATCCTGCCTCTATCCCGCCAGGAAAAAATTAAAAATTATTGCATGTTAGATCAGATTTCAAGAGACTGAAATTCAAAAGCACATACTGGGAAAATTAATAGTTAACAAATTTTAATAAAAATCTTACTTGTTTCCTCTTCCTTACCAGTTTCAGTCAGGGGTACAGATCCATTTCCTTGGTTTATACTCATCAAAATCTGCCGTAGTTGGTCCTGTGTTAGACACACCATGCTGCTGTTCATATTTTCGGTGGTGTGTGTTTTACAAGACTTCTGTTTATCCACTACGCATTTATCTGTGGTGTTTATAGCCTTCTGTATATTAGAGGTTGCAAGTAAAGACTGTTTTTGGGAATGAAGACAGTCTTTTTCTGCATATTGCTGACATAAATCCTTAGAAGGTGAAAGTGTTAATCTACTTTTCTCAGGTTTTGCTTGTGAAGTTTCTGAACTAATTATCTTCTTTTGAAAACCGTTTTCATTCCTAATGTAAGAATTCTGTGTTGATTTTAGAACGTGTCCAGTCTGTTTTATTCTTACAGGACATTTTGCAATCTTGATCTTATTTCCCATCTGTTAAAACACAAGTTTATTCTTTATAACAGAGTATGAAAAAAACTGACATGGTCATTTTTGTTTGGAGACACAGTATTGCTATGCAGCTTAAGCTGGCCTTGATCCTCTCATCCCTTCTGAGATTAGAGTATGAACCATACACCCAGCAAACAATCATCTTTATTCTTAAATTCTGTGATAAATCAGGCCTCTAAACTTTCCATTTTGCTATCAGATACTATCGTTATAAGATTTTGTTTACCTTTGCAGACTTCCATTTGGAAAAACTCAACAATGAGAAATTATTTTAACTCCAGATACTAAAGAATACAAATAAAATTTTGTATCAGTAAATTACATAACTCATACTACCTTTGAGGTTACCAGTCCTTATTCCTCAACTATCTTAGCTGCTTGGTCACCAACTCTCCAATTCCAGTTCTGTCTTAATTTCTGTTGTGTTCATATCCACATATTCTTCTACCCTTCTGGCTAGTTACTTCCTCATACTCATCTATATTCTTCCCTGTATGGTCTCATTCATTTTCCCAGTGTCATGGATGTGTACAGTAACCCTAGTGATCTTATACTGAGCCTATTAAGGACCCACAACTACAAGCTCTCTATAATTTCAACTTCTAGATAATGACTATCACCTCCTGTTTGCTAACTCATTCCCTCCCATATCCCAATTCTAAGTAGTGTTTGCATGTGCTGGGATCCATTATCTTCCTATCCTAACACCTCCCCAATTGCTCATTTCCTTCTTATCAATCTTAGATGCCACCACCAACCAGAAATTTCTTTTCCATTCTTTATTCTGCAATCTGTCACACAGACTAAGCAAACCCTTCACCCTGTGTACTCCTGGCTTTAGGTTTTGGTTGTTTTTAAAAATATACATTTTATGTGTGTGTGCCTGAGTGTATGTTAATGCATCATATATGTGCTGGAGGTCAGAAGAAACACTAGATTTTGTGTTTTTGCAGGAGCAATCAGTGTTCTTAGCCTCTGAGTTGTCTCTCCAGCTGCTGGTTGTAGGTTTTGGATAATATCAGCATCTGAGTATATTTCTGCCTTTGCATCCCTGGAGCAAATTAAAATATGTCTCATAAGTTAGACTGGATGGAAACTGGCATGACCCCAAGGGCATTTTTCTCATCTAAAGGGTATTACCATATTTCCCAGCTATGCTGCACTGTTATACAGGAATACAGCCTAACTGGAAGATCATCCAATAGTTCACGAAAATCAAGAATGCCAGGTTTTAGATTCTCATTTTTAGACATAAACAAAACATTTTAGAGCCAGGTGTGGTGGCACATGCCTTTAATTCTAGCACTCAAGAGGCAGATGCAGGTGCAACTATGTGAGTTCAAGGCCATCCTGATCTACAGAGAGAGTGCCAGCAGGACTGTTTCAAAAAACAAAACCAAAGACCAAAAACCAAGTAATTTTAGTTTTTCAAGTCACTTTATCAATCAACTTACCTAAATAACTGCACATGGCTCAAACAGGTGACCCCCACCTACCACCCCAGTTCATCTCAAACTACTGTAATTCTCTTCTTGCTGTTTTGACTCATGAGCCTTTTTTGTATCATAATTGGGCACTTTAGTTCTCTAAACTATTATCTCATTCAAACTGCTAAGTGTGGCAGACTTCCTTAACAGGCATTATAGGTCATTTTTGGCTCCTGTCATCACATAAACCACCATGTAAGCTCAATGCCTTACCAGGTGCTCCTTAGGCTGTTGTAACTGGCAAGGAACTAGTTTCCTGTTATGGTCATCTGCCTTTCATGGAGCTACCTAACTGTGCTTTCCTACATAGAAAAACAGATCATATCTACTACTTCCATTATCAAAACTCCTACACTGAGCTGAGCTTGGTAGTGTATGCCTGTAATCCCAGCACTGTGGTTGGGGCAGGAAGACAATGGGGTTCTGTGCTAGTAGCCTGAGTTATACAGTGAAATCCCATCTTAAAAAAAAAAAAAAAAAAAAAAAAAGTAACAAATTCCCTATAGTAAGTCACATCATTTTCAAGGTCCTTGAGTATTGCGGTAAATAAAGATCAGGACTATCTCACTACACTTGAGCATAAATTTATACGTTCCATCTAAGCTTTATATGTCCTACATGTCCCCTAAACCATTTTCCACAATAACTTATTTTCCATAATTTGGCATTCTGTCGTATTTTCTGTGGGCCTGGAATATAGTTCCCGACTTCTTTAACTAACCCCTCATCTCTGAACTTCTAATAACAGAGTCACCTCAGGTATGAGTTGTCTCTTGGTTCTACATGGGCAGACACCACTCTCTAGTGTGTGCCCCTTCACAGGTCTCTAGCTGTCATTTAACTCTTTCACAACAGTCATCCACCTGGCCTACCCTCTTCCTGAAAACAAGGGCTCAGTTTTCTAATTGTTTCCTCCTCCTGAAAAGAATGAAGAAAGCCAGAGTGCAGCTCAAGGCCATGCTGGAGCTTCACAGCTGCTGAAAATCCCTGTTGGATACAAACCTACCAACCGGAACCCTATAACTGGCATTATTTTGCCATATTCCAGTTGTGCCAGAAGTGATACGTAGAAGAGTCTTCTAAAAACATTTACCAAAAACTCTGATGGCACATCATGTCAAGGTGCAATTAGTTTAATTCTAAACACTACTTATAGCTCAGTGCCAAAAAGGAATAATAAAAGGAGGCTGGGGGAAAAAAGAAAAAAAGAAAGTCAGATTTCCCCATAAAGATTCAGTTATGTTCAGGTTACTGAGCAAGGAAAGCAACCGACCCCAAATCATTCCTAAGAGCTTACTGGATAAGACTATGTCCTAAAACACCTTTTTATAGTATACTGCCTCCCCCCCACCCCCCAAGTTCTAGCAATACTTCTACTATAAAGACAAAGTACTGGTTAAAGCACTTGCCATGAAATTTCAAGGAGCAGTATTTGGATGCTCAGAACACACATAAATGCTGGGTGCATATGAAGGCCTACTTCTAATTCCAGCATTCAGAAAGCAGAGACGAAAATCCTCCAGAAAAAGCTACCCAACTTCACTATCTGTCCTAGCAAGCTGTGGGTACAACTAGGAAACCCTGCCTCAACACAGAACCCATGAAAGTGTACATTTCACACGTCGAAACAGGTAGGGTCAAAATCACTTAACTTACCTTCACAGAAACTTTTGATTTATGCTCTACAAGAGAAAATAATATAAAATTACTAAACTATAAACCCAAAACATATTAAGGCAATGACAAAAGAAAACATTAAGTACTGTTTATGATGTAGGATAAAAATACTATCCCAAAAGCACTGACCTCAAATCCCACCCGAGTATTCCCACATTTACAATGTGGTGGTTCAAGTAATACCTGCCATTTCATTTTTATTTCAGTTATCTTTCCAAGGTAAGGATAAAAGCAGATGGTGCAGAGGGGGCAGGCAAATAACTTGATAGATAAGACGAAAAACTATACTGAGTTTAAAAACTAACAAATAATAACAAAATGTTAAGAGCATTCTTCCTGCTAGCCTGGTGCTACTGCCACCTTGCCCCAAAATAAACACACAGACAATATATCATTTATGAAACTGTTGACCATTGGCTTGGGCTTCTTCTTGTTTAGCTCTGTCTTAATTACTAACCCATTTCTATTAATCTAAGTATTTTTATGTGGTCTTATCTTACCGGAGAGAGGGTCCATAGACATGTTACTCCTCTAGAGTCCTACATGGCGACTGCTCTCTGCCTACACCTCTCAGAATCCTCGTCTCCTCGACCTGCATATCTTGCTGCCCTACTGGTCACAGTGTTTTATTCACATATTTACAGGCTGACATCTCCCATCAATAAAAGACTTTAGCAACTGTAGCTATACTTTATAAATTTAACACAATAGCTTGTTTACATGGAAAGTACATAATCCTCTAAACTCTACCTTCATTACTTATTAGGCAAGAAGATATGTGAACATCAAAAATATATTACAGATGAAATACATTTTATAGAGCAATAGTGACAGCAGTAATCACGGTCACAATGTCTTTACTTGGATAAATGTCAGTTTGAAGACATTAAAAGAAAAAGGGGTTTCCAAGTGTCATTTATCTATCTTATCACAAGAAAAGTATCTTAAACTATTGCATGTTCTACATACAAACTTAAACATTTTTAAACTTCCAATAACACAGCATACCATATGGAGACAGTATCAGCTTGGTTCTTCCATCCAATAATTCAGTTTCAAGCTTCAAACCATCTCTGCAATATAAGAGAAAATTGTTTTTGACATTTTAGTTGAATAGCAACTAGAAATATTTACACAAACCTTGAAAGGAAACCTATTCCTCTGAATGTATATAGGAATCATACAACCATCAAAGCAAGGATTTTTGTTTCTCTAAAGCCATATAGCCCAGGCTGCCCTCAAACTCACTATGTAGGCCAGGCCAGGTTTGAATTCTTGATCCTCATGCCTGAACCTCTCTCAAAAAAGTCTTTATATTTTTAAATATTTTTTCCAAGGCTGGAGAGATGGTGCAGCAGTTAAGAGTACTGTCTGTTTTTTCAGAGCCAAACCAACATTGCAGCTAACAACCACCTGCAATGTTCTATCTGACCTCCAAGAGCACCAGACACACAGTGGCCCACAGTCTTATGTGCAGACAAGACACCCATACACAGAAAACAAATACTTAAAAAGTATATTTTTTAACCAATGGGGGGGGGGGAAACACAGGAAAAGACTTTCTTATAACTTTCAGTGAGGCAAGCATTTGTCATTTTTAACCTGAAACCTTTTGTTATTGGTAAGGAATAAAGTAATTCAGTTACTACAGCATCCTTTTAACTTGTAGCTCTATATCAAAAATTCCATGCTGCTACCAGAACTACTTACCATGATGTAAGACACTGATAAGACATTTATTAGTTCTGTAATTGCTTTAGTGACACTTTGTTTTTACTACCATAATAAATGCATAATAAACTTTGGTCAATATGGCACTTTACATGTCAAAGGCACCAGCATGAAGAAATGATAAACACTACCAGCAAAACTTATGTTGTCTATTAGGGTCATCATTAAAACTCCACTGAAGGGATTCCACATGGTATTTCATTGTTTTACTGGGGGTGGGTAATGTGTTCAAGAACAGTAATAAAGACATGTTAAAGAGAAAACATTGCCTAGCGTTGGCGGCGCACGCCGTTGATCCCAGCACTCGGGAGGCAGAGGCAGGCAGATCTCGTGAGTTCCAGGCCAGCCTGGTCTACAGCTCGAGTTCCAGGACAGACTCCAAATAAGCAATACAGAGAACCCTGTCCTAAAAAACATAACAAACCAAAGGGGGGAGGGAGAGGAGAGGGAAGAGGGGGAGGGAGGGAGGGAGAGAGGGAGAGAGAGAGGGAGGGGGGAGGGAGAGAGAGAGGTAGGGGGGAGGAAGGGAGGGAGAAGGAGGGGGAAGGAAGGGAGGAAGGGAGGGAGGGAGAGAGGGAGGGAGGGAGGGAAAGAGAGAGAGAGGCGGGAGAGAGAGAATATCAAAGCAAGCAATTCAAGGCGAGCAGGCTGAGAAGAGTCTAACTAGCAACGCTAAATCCAGCGTTGCATTGGTAGAGGAATCAAAATGCCTCGGTGTGTTAAAGGAAACAATCTGGGAGAAATGTTGTTTCAGACTTCCCGGTAGCAGGACTAAGAACAGCTCACGTTTACTCCTTAGAAGAAGGCAACATCTTGCACGAAACCCAAGTAGCCAAGTCCCCACTCTACAGCTCGGTGGGCTCACGGGGGCAGCTTCTCCGTGAGAACCTAACACTCAGCTGCAGGACGCGCGGCGACGCCCGGATTTGGCAGCCGGTCTCCCTAAAAACGCTCAGCTTGGGAAATGGTCCCGCCCAGCTCAGGGCACCCCAGCTCGGTGCAGGGCAGCTGTGCGGACCGGAGCAGCTCGCCGGGATCGGGGCGCCGCCTCCCCGCGGGTGTGTGGGGGTCTCCAACGCCGCAGGCCGCCGGCCCGCCCCGCCCGCCTCTCCCGCGCCCGCAGCGCGCAGCCCAGGGCGTCCCCGCAGGCTTACCCCAGGTTCATGGCCCCGCCGCCCACCCGCACCCCGCTCACGCCGCTTGAGTACGGAGGTCGCCGCCGCTACTCAACAAACGCTAGACCGATTGGACGCCGGGGCCAGCTGGACCAATCAGAGCGGCGCATGTTGGCGGGTGCGCGCGGCTCGAGACGCACCCCCCCCCCAGCCCCCGGGACTCAGCGCCTGGTAGCGGCGCCTGCGGTCCACCGCGGTCCACCAGGGTCGCTGCACGCCTCAGGGACCCGCCCTGGCTCAGGTGGAGGTTTCCAAATAGATGGTCGCAACAGACACGACTGTGTCATTTCACGTTTAGGGGAGAAATGCATTTTAATACAAAAATGTTGAGAGACTAGGGACACCGAGGGCATAGAGTGTGTGTGAGCCTCTTGCTCTCATCAAGCCTTACAAACCGACTGGAGTTCTTTAAATTCTTCACTAACAGAACTTCCTCAGGGCCACGAACAGGCAAAGGGACTTGCCTGGGTCACTGACCACTGAACAATTAAATAACAGCGCTTATGTCTCTAGCTAATGTCTCAACCCCAGTTGATGCTTTAAGAACCGGTCAAAATTGTCACTGGCTGCTCTTCCAGAGGCTCCGGATCCCAACACCCAGGTCAGGTGGAGACACCTGTAGTTATGCCAATCCTGTTATTGGACTGGTGGGAGGGAAAGGATGAAAATACGGCCTAACTCTCTAATGACCAGTAAAAGAAATTAAAAAATATCCACCAGCATGTATTTAAAAACCACCCTAGCCTGCATGCAAAGCTCAGGAAAAAGAAAACACATGAAATAGCTTGGTTACCATGACCAGTTTCTAGAAATTATTATTATTCATAACCACCTAGTTTCTAAGGAATGTTGTTATCCACAACAACAGTCTTGGAATTGTTATGGGTCACTGTCCACAAAGAAAATTAATAACTAAAAGCTGGGACTCATGCAAGAAGGGAAAACCAGAGAGAACAAGAGCTTCTGCTCCCTGACTGGAGAGTACATTCTCCCAGCTGCTCATTATCTTAAGAACAAGGCCACTGAGCCCACTGGTCCTAGAGAAAGAAAAAAAAACCCCTAACCTTGCAGGTAACCTAGGAAACCTTATTAACCATCCAAGTTTGGAACTGTCCCATGACCTTGCTTTTAGGCCTAGTGAAAATAACAGGCTAGCTTTGAAACTGGCCTTGTTAGCTTTGATGTAAATCCTATAAAAGCTATCTCAATTCTGCACTAGAGGTCCTCAGTCCTCTACCCCTGCGTGGCATATGACTGTGGACTCCAGTTGCACTTGGAATAAAAATTCCTTATGCTATTTGCATAGAGACTGCTTCTCGTGAGTGATTTGGGGTGTTGCCTTTCCTGAGTGGGAGTGTGAAGGTCCATGCTCTGCGGGTCTTTCAATACACATCTTTAAAAACAAAACAAAGTTTAAAATGGCAGGAAAGGTGCTGGAGGGATTCCAACGACAAAACATTATTAGGATTACTTACAGAGCAAGCATGGGTGAGGGGTTTCAGGAGCTTGGGTGAGCCTAAAGTAAATACATCAGAAGGTCTGCACTCAGCAAGTACGATGACTTCCCCATGGCTGTGAATACTTGTTGCCCTTGTCTCCCCAGAGCTCTGAAGTAAATTACAGCAGCATTGCATATAATTGGCAAGTGTGTTATGCCAAGTTCGTGAAACTCCAAAAAAAAAAAAAAAAAAAAAAAAAAAAAAAGACCAGCAAGGAGCCTACTCACTGATGCAAATGAACAAGGTTTAATGTTAAGTTACAAGCCTCAGCTGGGGCCCTGTCCAGCAAACTGGCACAGCAGCTGAAGGAAAAGGTGCCTGGTCTCAATTCCAAGAGGTTTTTAAAGGAAAAAACTGCAAGCAGGGTGGTGCATGCCTGGGTTGTTCAGGATTAGGTAAGGGTAGATGACCTTTGATTCATTGAGAAGGGGCTAGGGGAATTTAAAAATTGTTACTAACAGTTGCCCACAAAGGACAGTTGGGATGACACAGTGTTATTTACCAAAATGAGTCATTGCCTGACCACCAGGATGGGATGGGGTCACTTTGACCGGGGTGGGCACAGTTTGGGTGCTCCATGAAAATGCTTATGGTTCCTTGGCTGAAGCCGAGTCAGCCTTGTGCCACACAGGAAATTTCTCAAGGCGGCTTTTTCTGAGGATGGAGTTAGCTCCATCCTCTCCAGTTTACCTTGCTGAGTGGGTTACTCAGGTGAGAGTCCCATGATCCTCCCTACCCACTCCTATGAGGGTGTGGTAGTTTGAATGTAATTGGCCCCTACAGGGAGAGTAGCAGAAACCAGAAACCTCAAACCAGACTCTTTGCAACGAACACTTGCAAGTAAAGATGAATGGGCAAAGGGTTCACTGCGTGACTCATTGTGTCACACTGCAGCTTCCAAAATAAGATTAAAATGTTTTCCTTTTTATGATTTGTTTTATTTGGGGGTGCAGGGGCAGAGGGCAGATGTGAAGGGAAATGAATGGGATCAAGACACGCAGTATAAAAAAGAAAGGAAAAGCTGTTGAACATTTTAAGCATTTCTTAATGGGCCATACCAATAAGAGAATGGGAGACAGTGGTGCAGACTGTGATTGGCTGAACTGTGGCTGCTCACAGGTTTCAGAGGAGAATGTCAGTATGCTGCCTAGAGATTGTTCTTGTGATATTTTGGTGAAGAAAGTGGCTGCCCTTTGCCCTTGTTCAGAGTCTGCCTGAGGTCAAAGTGAAGAATTTTGGATTAATTCTACTGGCAAAGGAAATCTCAAAACATCCTAGTACAGACTGTGTTTTGTGGTTGTTAGTGGAAACGCTGATGAAGATTTTAAAAGGGAGCAAGCTGAGCAACGTAAATTACAAAATGAAAAATTTGAGGAGGAAAACAGCACTAGGAAGTGGAATAGAGCTAAATTCTATGCCCAAGGAGATAAACAGATTAAGAAATGGAATAAAGGGAGTGGTAATCTCAGGGCAAGATCCCAACCAGCTGTTTCCAATTTTCAAAAAGGGACTAAAGAAAAGCTTAGAGCCTGGTTCGGAGGGCACACCCTTAATCTCAGCACTGGGAAGGCAAAGCCTGGCAGATCTCTCTGAGTTTGAGGCCAACCTGGTCTACAGAGCAAGTTTCAGGACAGCCAAGCTTAGGCAGTGAAGAACAGAAAGCTGGTGAAGATGTAATTGAACGAGGGGGCCATGCTCCAGCCCCAGGAAGCAGCAGAACTTGGCAGCTTTGGCCATGTGGTTCTTGGTTTAGTGGTAAGGATAGAAGAAATAGGCTATGGAATTTGCTCCCATAGTTAAGGAAAGCTGCTGAGGTCAAGCATGTGTCAGGGATGTCCCTGAATGGAGGCTTGAGGGGCCATTGTATAAAGCTGTGAAGTTAAAACCTAGATTGCCTTGGAGACCCCAACATTTAGAGATACCCGAGCCATGGGAGACCTGGTGAGGAGAGCTGGTAATAGGGAGTGGAACCTGCCCAAGAGAAAGAAGTTTGTTGCAGTCAACAAAGTTGGACAGAGTTGGAGATCTGAAGAGCATTTCAACATCAGACATGGAGATGCAGCATTTGGTTTCCAGATGCAGCTGGTTTTCAGTCTTATTTTGGTCCAGTATTTCCTCACTATGCCCCCTTCCCTATGCTTTTGAATGATAATGTATATCCTATGGAAGTATGTGACCTGCTTTTTATTTTCATTTTATAGGGAATTACAATTATAAGAGACATTGAACCTTGTACTTTTAAACATTGTTGAGACTGTGATAGACTATGGGGACTTTTGAAGTTGGACTAAATGCATTTTGAATTATGATATTTGAATGTAATTGGTCCCCATAATCTCATAAGGAGTGGTACTGTTTGGAGGTGTGGCTTTGTTGGAGGGAGTGTGACACTATGGGGCAGGTTTTGAGGTTTCTTATGCTCAGGACACCACTTAGTGAGTGAGTTCACTTCCTGTTGCATTTGAGCAAACATGTAGCCAGCACCAGGTCTGCCTGCATGCCACCATGCTCCCTGCCATAACAACTGTTAGTGTTCAGGCATCTGTACTGGCCAGCCCTTGAGGTTCTGACAGGATATGCCCTCAGCTGCAGCCACTAAGAGCACCACCTATGCACACTCACTGTGTTCCTTATAAAAGAGCCCTGCCCACCCCTCATTTCTCCCTCTCTCCTCCCTCCTTTCCCCTTCCCCCTCTCTATTTCTATGCCTGTCTCTCTCTCTGCCTGTCTCTGTGTCTCCCTTCCCACCTCTCTTTTCTCTTCAGCTGTTCCTGTCCCCAGAGGTGGGTCTCTTCCTCCCTTCCCTCCTTTTATCATTCCCTTTCCCCTAATTTAAACAAACAAACAAATCACTCCACACGAGCTCTGTCACATGGTATCTTTATCTCCTGCCCCACTTTTTTTTTTTTTTTTACAACAAAGACAATGGACTGAAACTCTGAAACTGTAAGCAAGCTCCCCGCCATTAATTGTTTTCCTTATAAAAGTTGCCAGTAGTCTTTTTACAGCAATGAAAACCCTAAGACAGAGGGTGTGCTATCTTATGAAAATAGGTCAATCTAAACAGATGGTGGTAGTTGGGCTTGGAAAGTAGTTCCATGAAAAAACAAGCCCTTCTAAAATATTAGGAGTCTCCCTATCATATAACATAAGCATTTGGGATCCTGTACCGAAGTGAGCTTCAGAGAAGCAGCTGATGTCTTGCACACTTCTGTAGCCACAGCTGCTGACACTTGGAAGGTCAAGACAGGAGGGCTGCCACAGTTTGAGGCCAACCTAGGCTACATGGGGCAATCTGTCTTAAGAAAACCAAACAACAGCCAGGCATGGAAGCACACACATGTAATCCCAGTCCTCAGGCAAAAGAATCAAGAGTTCAAGGCCAGTCTCCTACAAGAAACACTGTTTCTTGGGGTCCAGAGAAAATTGAGACAAAAACAAATTGGAGGTAGGAAGCATGAAAGTGGAATATATTTATACACCTGACCGTGCTGTTTACTTCTACCTGGCTGTGGTGGTGCATGTATTTGACCCCAGCACTCAGGAGGCTGAAGCAGAGGGGTTT